TGTTGATTTTTTACCGTTGACGTGAAGCGCATTGCTCAAGCGCCAAGTGAACCTAAATATTGTGTAAAACCAAATTCAAATTGTTAATTAATTAGTAATTAGGGTTAGCACGCTGCACCTATTTTTTAAAAATTGTCTCTTGCTTATTTCTTATGTTAAAATAAATTTGATAACATGCAGAGTGTCAAAGAATTGAAGCACAATATTTATTCAGTGTCATTTAGTATTCAAAATACTTTAATGATTAGCCTCATCGAATTCACACAAAGTTGAACTCATATTTTAAAAATGGAGAAAGATTCTTGAAGTCCAGACCAAAAGTTGGCACGATTTTCCATACATTTCTGTGTCCAATGAAACTTATGGTCGCCGCTGCGAACTTTCCAGACCCGCAGCTTTCCCTTCTGGAATCAGGAATGCATGCCAAGTCCATGCGTGGCCCAGCCTGACTGATCTCTGACTGTCTTGGCGACTCTGAGATTTGTGACGCTCCATGAGTCCCAGCCTGACTGATCTGTGACTGTCTCGGTTACTCTGAGATTTGTGAAGCAAATTCGTTCTTCAGTTGCCCACCGATAATGCATGCAGTGTCAATGAGTTCTTATTAAATTGTGCTTCTATAAGTTCGAATAAATTAATTACTAACACCCTCTATTTAGAAAGAATGTCAGTGCAGCGCTAAGGAATGCAAGCTAGCAGATGCTCTCAAAATGAGTCAAGCGGGTAATTTTATTGGCACTGTAAACCTTCAGCGAGGAATGTGTCGTCAGTGCACGGTTATTGCTGTGAGGAGATAAAGCTTTCGACTCTACCCTTATCAGTTGGGTGCCGCCTGCCATGTCTGTACACATCAAGTGACAGGCATGCTGAAGCATCCAACGTGATGGAAGCAACGTATATATATCTTAAAGATTATATCTTGCACTTAGTATTTTATTTGCACCCTTGTAGTTTTACTTGTTACTTGTTTCATCATCTTTTCATGCTGATTATTGCATTTGCACTTTTGAAAAATTTACACATTTACAGCATCGCTGTCTCTTTAGCACGCGTTCTTTTCAACTGATCATTCCACTTGCCCAATTTTATCACTAAAGATTTAATGTAAAAATATTTTGTCGCACGGTTAGAAATCTCTCTAACGGAATTCTATTTTACGTCATGCTTGCTGGTGCAAAGTTAATAAACGATCACATCACCACGGATTATTGATGCCCCGCCATGATCATGTTGAAAGAAATATTTTATCAAAGAAAGTTACGGTGTGAAAGTTCAGCGTGTGAAGGAGTGAGTTTTTTTTTGTATTCATGGCGCGCAATTTTTAGCATTTATTAACGGCTCAAACTAGGCCATCGAAACCTCTGGGATTCGTGGAAATTTGTAGATAACTCGACATGGCCGATCTAAAACTATCTAGTATTTTGATTCGATCTCCTTACACCTAATCCGCTCCATCTCCCTAACGCGTTCTCCGCTCCAGCTTCCTACACGTAACACACTCCATGCATCTCCCTACAAGTAACCCGCTCTAACTCCCTACGCGCAACGTACCCGCTCTAATCGCCTTACACGTAACCCACTCTATATCTCCTTACACGTAACTTATCTTCATACGCGCAACCCGCTTTATCTCCCTACGCGTAACCCGCTCTATATCTACCCATACGTAACTTATCTCCCTACACGTAACTCGCTCCAGCTTCCTACACGTAACTCGCTCCAGCTTCCTAGACGTAACTCGCTCCAGCTCCCTACACGTAACTCGCTCCAGCTCCCTACACGTAACTCGCTCCAGCTCCCTACACGTAACTCGCTTCAGCTTCCTACACGTAACTCGCTCCAGCTTCCTACACGTAACTCGCTCCCTGTCTCTTATACACATCTAGATGTGTATAAGAGACAGATGTCTGCCGTTAGGAGTAGCGCCTGATACGGTGCACGACGTCTGCCGTTAGGAGTAGCGCCTGATACGGTGCACGACGTCTGCCGTTAGGAGTAGCGCCTGATACGGTACACGGCGTTTGCCGTTAGGAGTAGCGCCTGATATACGGTGCACGGCATGTGCCGTTAGGAGTATCGCCTGATACGGTGCACGGCATGTGCCGTTAGGAGTAGCGCCTGATACGGTGCACGATGTCTGCCATTAGGAATAGGAAGCTAAAATTTCAAGATTTAATCTTTATTTATTTTGCTGTTGAAATTTATTGTTAAATTTAACTTTAGTAAACGATCAAAGATCCACCGGTCGCCGATACCGCTACGCATTCGTCCACCGGTCGCCGGTACCGCTGCGCATTCGTCCACCGGTCGCCGGTACCACCGCGCGTTCGTCCACCGGTCGCCGGTACCACCGCGCGTTCGTCCACCGGTCGCCGGTACCACTGAGCGTTCGTCCACCGGTCGCCGGTACCACCGCGCATTCGTCCGCTTGTTGCCGGTACTGCGACACATTCGTCCACCGGCCGCCGGTACCGTGACGCATTTCGTCCACCGGTCGCCGATACCGCAACGCATTCGTCCACCGGTCGCCGGTACCGCCGCACATTCGTCCACCGGTCGCCGATCCTGCGACGCATTCGTCCACCGGTCATCGGTACCGCGACACATTCGTCCACCGGTCGCCGGTACCGCCGCACATTCGTCCACTGGTCGAACTCGCTCCAGCTTCCTACACGTAACTCGCTCCAGCTTCCTACACGTAACTCGCTCCAGCTCCCTACACGTTACATACAGTATACCCCGGATAAAAATTGCGTTCTACAATTACCCGTATGTTACTTTAATGAGCTTTACTTGTAATGGTTACGATTGTTGTAAATGTACGACTAACGTAGAGCGTGCGTTGCCGGACTTACGATTGTTGACCGCTTCATGGCCATACTAGAAGATCCTGCAGTTCCCTAAAATACTGCAAGTCATGGCCTGCTTCTGACATCCTTATCTTAGTTTTAATGTAGTCTCCGCCGTATCATAAACATGAATTAACATAATCATTAACCTAATCATTCATAAATCGCTGCATGTATTGCACTTGACTATGACTGCTGATGTGGCGGCCGGCAACGGGCGAGGAGTGTTCGTAGCGTCGCTTTCTCCTTCACTCGCAGCCCCGGCCGCCTGTACGGCTTACTACCAGCGCTTACTGCTTACTACCAGCGCTTACTGCTTACTACCAGCGCTTACTGCTTACTACCAGCGCCTACTGCTTACTACCAGCGCTTACTGCTTACTACCAGCGCCTACTGCTTACTACCAGCGCTTTCTACTTACTATACCAGCGCTTTCTACTTACTATACCAGCGCTTTCTGCTTACTATACCAGCGCTTTCTGCTTACTATACCAGCGCTTTCTGCTTACTATACCAGCGCTTTCTGCTTACTATACCAGCGCTTTCTGCGTAACTGCCAAACATTTTGGGTTACTGCCAAACTGATTACTGCCAAACTTTTTCTCAATGCCTGCTTTTACTGCTTACTACCAGCCCTGAATGCTTAATGCCAGATTTTTTGCTTGCTGCCGGCTCTCATATGTCTTACTGCCAACCCTAACGCTTTCTGCAGGTCCTCACTGATTACTGGTAAACCCTATTGAATACACCCAACCTTACTGCCAACCTTTACTGCTTACTGCTAACCCTCACTGCTCATTGTCAACCCTCACTGCTCACTGTCAACCCTTACTGCGTACTGCCAACCCTTACTGATTACATACTGTCTGAGCTACTATACTGCCGGTGCTGATTTTGTTTTCTGTATAGCTAAACGGCTGAACGAACTGCCTCTTTTCTGACTGGAATCTAGTCGTGAACGCGTTACTGTTTGCCAGTAAAGTGCTTACTTCCAGTTGTGTTTGTGAACACGTCAATGTCCTGTCGTTTACGCGTTCGCTGCGAGTCGTGAACGTGTTTCACTGACCCTGTGGCAAGCCTAGTAATGTCAGGTACTGATTAGTTTGAGTTGTAAAGGAATAGGCAATTTCTACCCGAAAGATAAATATCTCAACTTGTTTCATCTCTTAGAAGTACACTTCCCGCAAAGTTGAATGTCTTGATCATCAGTTTAAGCCTCGACCTGAACCGTTACTTTCATCATGCGCAAATATTCCTTACCCATGTTGAGATAGAGACTTGAAGAGGAAAAAGGAGGAAGAGAAAAAGAAAGAGAGAGAGGGCCGCGGGTACAGCGAGCGAAGAAAGGTAGGAGCGAGCGGGTACCGTCTATACCATCGGTCATTGGAGGCCTGGCTGCCGTGCGTGATAGACGTGCGGTGTTGCTGGCTGTTAATGTTCACTTGTGATGCTGTTTGTCTTGTGAAACATATTTTTTGTGTATTGTGTACTTCATGGTTTGAAAACCGAGCTCCTCACTTTCTCTGTGCCAAGTGAACTTGAATATTGTGTGTTCTCAGGGCAGTTTAGCTACTTCATGTTTTTGTACCAAGTAGTTCACTTTCTTCGTGCCAAGTGAACCTCTATTTTTTTCATCAACCGGTCAGGTGAAATGTTACGTGTACTGGTTGCCTAGCGACTTCGTGTTTTGTGAACCAAGTATCTCACTTTCTTTGTGCTATATGAACCATGTATCTCACTTCCTTCGTGCTGTGCGAACCGAATATCTCACTTTCTTTGTGTTCTGTCAATTAGTATCTCACTTTCATCGTGTTTGTGAACCTCGAATAGAGGCTTCCTGCATGAACCGAATTGCCAAAATGGATCGCATTCCATGAAATATGTTGCCTAATTTTTATTTTGTTTTTAATGATATGAAAGAATTGCTTGAAATGATCACTCAAAACGAATTTCACTGTTTGATGTATGAAAGTTCGAAGTGAATTTCAAAAAGATAAAAAAATGTAATATTGCTCTAATTTAATAATTTCCTGTTGCGTACATTTTTTTCTAGAAAGATTGCAAGGGAACAGCATGATATCTTTCTTTATTCTTTCGCTATATGTTTTAATGCATATATAAGCACATTTTTTTCTATTTTACTGCACAGGCGTTATAAAAAAGTTGATAAAGTGATTTAAAGAGAACATGTAATAAAATAAGAGATTACCGCTCAAAGAAATAATTATTTATTTGTGAGTTCAGAAATATTAATTCGTGATCTATTATCCACTAACTGAAAGACTTATGATAAAATTTGTATAGAAAGTTCAGGGATTCGTAGATATAAGGAGACTTCAACGCGATCAGGATACCAATCGTCCTCTTCTTGAGTGTCAAACATGAATGTCGTAATGCGAATAGCATCGCGCTGTGTAATTTGTTACATGCCCTCTCTGAACATTACTTAGTTCACTCTGAGTTGAGTTATTTTGGATAAGTGTTCTTCAGAACGTGACGAAGGAGGAGCAATGAGTTCCTCCGGTGGTTGGCAGGATGGCAAGTCCCAAATTCCAATTCTCAAGTCGCCGAGTCCGACGGAACGTAAAGTTGACAATTCTGATCACGTCGGCAAACTGACGAATGACAAGCTTAAGAAGCGAAGTTCATCGGTCCTGAGTCTGTTTCATGTGACTCACAAAGTTCCTTCTCATATCGTGTCCCCGAAGTCTCCTAAAGATGCAGATCAAAGGACTACAGATTGGAACGAAGGTCGGCAGTACCTCAGTAACTTGGAACTGTCCAAATGCGCTTCGAACTTCGATGAAGATTCAAACTCGAGTGAAAGAAGCAAATTGTCTCGATCTGGCATGCATAGTAGCGTTCAGGACTTGAACATGACATGGTGGCAGAAAAAACCTCCGACTAAAGACACTGCGAACCATAACCTCTTTAGTGATATCGGGGAAAAATCGGCTTCAATTTCTAACATTTTTGACGGGAGGGAAGCGAACGATAACGGTTTGTTTTCCGAAAATTCTAATGCTCCCATGAGCCTGCCGGGTATCCAAGGTTTCAGAGATGATCGTAACAGCTGCCACGATTTGCTGAAACAGCCGAGTCATTATCACCAGCCCGCCCTGGCGCTCAATAGCGGCATGAGGACGCAATTTCGCAGCGAGCAAAATCTCTTCAACTCAAGCCCATCTCATCACGACTCTGGCTTATACTCGCTGGATTATAATCACCCCAGCAGGGGAACATTCAGTAAATTCAACTTCGATATTTCTACTATCAAGGAACTTCCAGAAGATAGATCCGATTCGCCTGCAAAGAATTTGCTCGAAAGTGACTCTGTGAATAACTTCGACGTTGTGCAGCGGGGCTTCATACCTACTCCAGCTATCTCAACAACTTCGTTTGCTGATATGTACAGAAGTCTTCAGGATCTCAGAGCGAATGTTCAAGATATACATCAGCCCGTGAGTTTAGTTTCTCAGACTGGAGGTGCCAATCAGTCTGTCCTGGACAATTCTGGAAACCAGTATGCCGACGAAGAAAACTATTTTAGAAGCATTCAAGACCTACGCGATCCGTCGTTTTCATTGGAAAACATTCCATTTAGCATGGATTATATACATTTGGGAAGAAATGAGCATTGCAGTGCTTTCGACTTGCCCAACGAAGTACAAAAATCTGTCACGAGTCCTCACGTGTTAGGATTCGATGACTTTGCAGCCAGAGACAGATCTGTCAGTATGATGGACATAACAGCGGCAAGTACCGCCACAGAAACCCAAAATTTCAACAGAAAAAATGCTTCAAGAATTCCTAAACGGCGGCACACGGTGACTGTGCAGGATTTCAAAGGAGTCTGTCCTGACGGAAATACGACAAGATCAATGTCGATGCAAAACATCTCCGAGATATCAGAAACAAAGAATGATCATAGAGGAAAAGCATTAAATAATTCTGACTCATCGACAAGTTCGTGCGACAAAAGTCTGGGTGCGGAACGTAAAAAAGGATGCGTTGGTTGTCAGCACAGACGCGAGAGGAAGCCTGTCGTGCGGCAGCTCTCGTTGCCTCCTCTCAAGGTAAATTCGATTAATTTTGATTTCCTTGATTTACAATTTTAAGGAAAATGCGTAATAAATTTCATTAAGTTGAAGTCAATTTATTTTCGTTTAGGAAAGCATGCCTGTTACATTTTTTCTGATTTCTTGTAGTAAAAGTTGACTTTGTAATTTTCATGTAATTAGATCAAGTCCTGGTATAAGGCATGAAGTCACCGTTACCACGCTTACTTTTAATCTGGTCAAGTCACTGTTGCCACACTTGTAATCTCAGGTCAAGTAACATCAGTAAGACCGCACCCACCTTGTCTCAAGTCAAGGCGGATTGCAAAATCCTGACGCCCTAATATTCCGCGAGAGTGCTGGAGTTCATGGCATCGAATTTGATGTGTATATACTTGCATCACACTCTGTATATACTCACCTTAGTGTGGCACTGACACGAAGCCCACTTTAGCATTAAAACTTGTGGCCCACTAGCAGACGGGAAATAAGCAGTCCCTACTGATGAGGACTAATTATCTTTTATTGTTGTGATAGATGATTCTCCGGATAGTTGTGTATGAATTCAGGTGGGAATTATCCTTGTTAGCTTGTTATGAAATAAATGAAGCTAGTAAGATTCTACTAGAATGGTCAGGTTTTAGATCTCAAGCGTAACTAAGTGAAATTATAAATTTCTTTTAAATTTGATTATCACCATGAGTTAAACCTGATCATTTTGGCAATGAATTAGATGTGTCCTAATTTTTTGGTATTTTATGCACGTTCGAATCGTTAATTACTCGCACGTTAAAACGTTTATGTAGAGGTGATCATAGAAGTGCGAGTATAGTTATGTATGAAAATCATGGGCGAATATTAGGTTATATGAAGAGACAACGGCAAATTTCATTATCTTTATTCGTGTGGTGAAGGTGCTTATGGTGGATGGCAGGTGATGACGGTGATCATTATAGTCTGCTTGCGTTATATTTTTTGATGTTGTTCGTAACTGAACTCGCGGTTTTATTTCGACAGGTAATTATGATAAACTTTTTTGTTCCGGCAACAGCGTTGAGAGCAACAACGGGGTGACGTCATCTCTATTGATGTTACTGCAGTTTATTTTGATGTAGTACGTTCGTAAGAACAAGTCTTCCTTGTTGCCTTGTTATGTACCTTATCTTAACTGTGGACGATGCACTCAGATAAATCAGTCAGACTATGTCCATATGTTGATGCACTTTTTGCACTTGTATGTGGGTCATCCTGACCAGAGATTAAAAATAGAGATTAAAAATACTTAATCTTAATAGGCCCATGAATAATGAAGAGATGAAGAGAACGCGTTCTCTTCATTATTTTGAAAATTAAGTACTGCATGATAATATCTCGCTTATGCATTGATTCTCTACTAATCAATTTCATGTGCCTATTAAGATTAAGTATTTTTAATCTCTGGTCATCCTGACTCGGTTTGTGGCGGCTAAAGGTCGTATCTGTGCTACGTCCCCTCTTTGCTTGTGCTGTGGATAAGAAAGAACGTCTTTATATGGTCAATATAACCCATTTCTTTTTTCCGCGTCTGAAAAAAAAAACCATCCCCAATTTTCAACGAAATTTAAAATTATCCATAAAAGAATCGTACCTACAATAATAATCCAGAAAGAAAATCAGAGTTTCTGATGCAATGAAATTGTTCTTTTTTTTTCTTTGTGTGGCTGTAACTCCCGCGCGCAAGGCCTAAATTGTGAGTTTTCGTATTGCTGCAATACTAACTACTGATACGAATTTATTCTTCACATTCGCAATAAAATATATGAAGGGTGAAGAAATCGTACCTGCATGTGTGTCGGCTTGACCTCCATTCTTAACTCAAAGAAGTGACTTGCGGAATCGGAAATGCACTTTCCCACCTAGTGTCGTCATGTCATGCGCTAAACGTTCGAGCATCAAGCGGCCGGGCATTATACCTACTATTGCTTGGACTGTTCCATTAAATTCTTTTACATGGACTTGATATAGAAAACTCATCGAGATAGCTATATTCGATGACCATTGTACGTCATCGATGATATTGGGTTTGAATGATGTTGATGAATGATGAATGATGTTCGTATTAACTTGAAATTAATTTAAGTTGATACTAAGTGGATGCACAGGAAACGACTTTCTCGGTCAGCCCGAGTTCTGCAATATTGTGTGATTATCAGTAATGTCCTTTTAGTATTTTCTGTAAACGTAATTTTTGTTGTAGCGAGCCTAGCCATTCTAGTCATCCTCCTAATGCGGTCTATTCTTACCTGAATTATGAAGTAAATTTTACAGCAATGTTGGAAAAACCCGATTATCATTATCGTTTCTAACCATTTCTATGCTCCTCTCAGATGTGGCTGCTAGTTTGGTTGTAATTGAAAGCTCGTAGCCGAGTTGCAATAAATACGCTACCCGAGCTGTGAAGTTAACCGCGTAACATAAGATAATCTCTCGCGTAGTTACCGTCTGACATTTTATGAGTTCATGTAAAATTCTCAGGAGATTTTCCGTTACTGGTGCTCGGGATGACAGCTGGCACCCGCCGACCTCGCTCTGTCCCTGATCGCTGGCATGCAAAGATCATGGGTTGCTCTGCGATCCCTTAAGATGGTCTTGAGAGGTGCATTCACAACGCATACTTACCTTGTCTTTGTGCGCCCTGTAATATTTGCCGTCACCTCCATTGGCTGCCGCTTGTAGATAAAGTTTGGAATTTATCCCTATGAAATCCTATGACATTTTGACTGCATTCGTTCACTAGGAAGCACGTATCCATTTCTTTGGTCAATTACAATTGCTATATAATTAAGGATGCTCTTATTTATTTTTTCTTTCTGGTTTTAAACACTATGGCCATCTATGTCTGGTTCCGATATACCATTTTTTTCAGCGACCATTACAATATTGAATTTCATGTTTATTTCTTTCTGTGTTTTTTTTTAACGCATTTTCTCATTCATGGAAAAAGGGCACTATTGTGCTCGTCATGTCCGTTCGTCCGTCCGTCCGTCCGTGACCACATTTTCGTCGACGAGAAAATGCGCTCTCTGTCACTCACTGCAGTGAGTACTGAGTTATATTTTTTCTATATTGTGACGGGAAGGTCCTGTAGTTCCAGCGTCATTTGGAGTCCCACAGTTTTCGTCGTTTCGATCACCGGAAGCTCGAGAGAAATTCCTCCAGTGTTTGCATATCATAAAGAAGCTGACGCGCTTTCCTTCAAGATTCCGTGGGATTTCTCCCACGACTTTCCCTCGCCGATAGTTTGGTGTGCCCGCTAATATTTTGCGCTGTTTTAACACTGAGCATTTGAAGGTTTCCATTCTATCGAATATTTGATCCTGCTTTGCATCTCCGTGTCCACTATACAATGTTTTGATCATAAGTGTAAATAGACGTTCATCTTATTTGAATAATCTTAATAATATTGCGAAATTTCTCTACGGTGCAGTTTTTTCGTGTGTCCTCCGCCCAAGCAACTTGCATTTCTCTCGAATTTAATTAAGATTCAATCTCAATCCCATCATCTATGATATTGGCTCCTTACCTTCCCTAATATTCAGTCTCTATCCATCATCCATGATATTGGCTCCTTACCTTCCCTAATTATTATCAGTCTCCCTTGTGTTGATTTAACTGACGCACATGACTCCGTCCTCTGACTTGATTTCGAACGGAATGCGACGCACATTTAAGGTATTCGACCGTGAGTTTGTTTTCAACGCTGGTATGTTCATTGGCGGCCTGATTGTAGGATTTTATTTTCAACATTTTCATTGGCGGGCTGATTGGATTGCGCTGGAACTTGATCCGTGTCGAGCAACATATATGAAGGAACGTTCTTGTTCTCGTGAGCTCAGGGACAAATGCTGATAAAAAGCTGGTACTTCTCGCCGGGGTCGGAGGTCAGGCGAGCCTTCCGCATACTGCAACGCTTCAGCCTTGGCCGGGTTATAGGTGGCCGATGAAAAGTCTGAGTTGATGCTGGTATATCATTTTGTGGAAGCATAGCGCTAAGATGCTGGACTGGATAGTCGTATTGAATAATTGATGTTTTCTTTTCGAGTTGCGTATTCAATAGTTTTTACTTGTCAATTACCAGTTTATTAATTAATATTTCATTCGAATTCCAAGCTTATAGTTAAAGTATTTTTTTGTTGTTGATAACAAAATAAAATACTTCTGCACAATTGCACTTCAAATTGCACAATTTCTGACTTCAATTTTTTAGTAGACCTTATACATTAAAGGTACGTTAGGTATCAATTCTTAATCCACTGATTCTTTATTGAACTTAATCCACTTTAATTTTATTACTTATGTTCTCCATTAATTGTAATAATTTAATTTATACAATTGTAGTAATTATAATTTAATTGATTGACTATTAAAGTAATTTAATAGTTATATTTTTTGCCGCTTGCCCTCTGTGTGCTGTTTATATCGACTTGAAATTTTTTTTAATCTATATTCTGTTTTGAAGTTGGCGGTCGCTCAATTATAGGCGTAATTTCGCCCATACGACGTCGATGATTTTAATTGTAGGCTAGCAGCGTCCAGAGGGCAAGGTCGATGCGAGATCCCTGCTTTGTACAGCTATCCTATTTACTTAACATTTATTCCAGCATCCATTATGGCTCATATTGCTGCATACACTCATATCTATCTTTTTGATTTACTGTCGCATTTTGTGTGTTATTTTATGTCGGCCTTTATTAATGCGTTTAACTTTCGCGTTTTCTATACACATTAAAAAATTATTTTATTATAACTTATGTTAAATTGATTTACGCATTTTTATCGTGTACACAATTGCATGTTCATTTTGCTTCTACTATGTATACTAACGCTTTTTACACCGCACTCAATAATGTGAGTACCAATGGTTATATAGTATATATACACGATAAAACTGTTATCGTGAATGCGGTATGTGCGCGAGTAGGTTTCCAGCTCGATGTCTCCCCTCGATGCTCGGCTATCTGGTAATGAAGTTGCGAAAC